GTTCCGCACGTGGTTTTCGACGACATTTGCGGCCAAAAGACGTTTCGCACGCTTTTAGACAACAACGAACTGGTGCTCGAGATGCGCAACTCCGCCACCAATGAGTTGGTGCGCGCGACCAAAGAGCGATTGTTGGAACTGCTGTTCGACGACAACAGCGGCGACGCGAAGATGACAGAAGACGACACGTTTGTCGCCGACTTTCTGCTCACTTTTCGCCTCTTCTTCTCCTCGGAATGCGTGGCCGAACTGCTCGCGCGTCTCGCAGACAATCTCGCTTTGGAGCGCGCGGTCGACCGCAGTTTGAAAATCGCGCTCTTCTGGATCTCCAATCACTTCCAGGACTTCGACCGCCAATTGTTGCGCGCTCTCGAGGGCGCGCTTCACTCCAAGACCCACAAAAAGCTCTTCTACTTCACGCTCTCCTCCAAGTCTCGCGAGCGTCACGTGACGATCACGCGGTCCGAGCGCGCGGCCGCCCTTCCCTTCGCGCTCGTCGGCGGATACGAGTGTTCTTCGCGACTCTTCGTGAGTGAAGTGCACGACGAGTGCGCCGACTCCGCGGATCTGCAGCGCGGCGACCGATTGCTGTCCATAAACGGCGTCGACTGTCACGTGATGGAAGTGTCGCGCGCCCTACAGCTCTGCAAGTCGTGCACGCATTTGAGTCTTTTGGTGCGCTTCGACCCCAACCTCTTCCATGCGCTCATCGACGGTGAGTTTGTTTGTCGTCGCGTTCGTCGTCTCTAATGTCGTCTCTCTTTCAGGACAACTGTCGCGACAACAGAACGACGCGAAGCGACTCTTCGACGGAAAGACCGCCACTTTGACGACGACGTCATTCGCGTCACTGAAACCCATCCAACAGTTGTCGTCGTCGTCGCTGTCGTCCGTCGTCTCCGCCAACAACGCGAACAACAATTGGAAGCAAAAAGTGCGACAAATCGTACAAAACGTCACAACGAATAACAAACACAACAACAACGCGACGACAGCGACGACGACACCGAACGACGCGTCGCCCTCCGAGTCGCCGGAAGTGATAAAAATCTATTACGAGTCGGACTTCCGGTATCTGCCGATCCACGTGACGACGACAGCGCGCGAATGCATTCAGTTGGCGCTCATAGAGTTTCAACTGAACTCTGCATACTCTTCGCGCGACTTTGCGCTCTATGAGTACAAACTGATAGACAGGACGACCGCCACGTCAGCCGTGAAGCGACTTTCCGACAATTACCAGAATCTCGTGCACAACCTGTCGCTCGATTCGCGCATTTACCTCAAGTGCGTCTCCGCGACGACCACGACGACAGCGATGAACGACAGCGACATCACCCGTGAAATCAGTCGCGAGGCGAACGACAACTCTCTGCTGACGCTCGACGGCGACGCCATTGCGCGCGAACTCATGGATCGCGACTTCGAGCTCTTCTGTCGCATCGAAAGCCAACAGTTTATATACGACTTGACGACAGGCGACGACACGAGTGACGACAGACGACGCGAACTGAAGGCGTTTGAGGAGCGCACGAATCGCGAGATGTTTTGGACCATAAATCAGGTGCTCTTCGGCGCCAACTCGACGGCCAAACGCGTGAAGAGCGTCAAGCGCTTGATTCGCATCGCGCAGGCGTGTCGTCAGCTCCAGAACTTTAACTCTTTGTTCGCCATTTTGTCGGGACTTTCGCACCAAAGCGTCGAACGCCAGAAGCACTCGCTGTGGGATCGCGTGCCCTCCCGTGCCCTCCAGAAGCTGCAGAAGCTGTACGCGCTGATGGACCCGTCGCGCAACTTCCAGCACTTCCGGTCGCAACTGCGGCGGTGCGCGCCGCCCGTCATTCCCTTCTTCCCATTGGTTAAGAAAGACCTTTCGTTCATCTTTTTGGCGAATGAGACGCTCGTCGCGAGCGAGGACTCGAAGCAGACGCTCGTGAATTGGGAAAAGATGCGACTTTTGGCCCAAAAGGTGAAAGAAGTGCAACAAATGACGCACAGCGCGACACCGGCTGTCGTCGCGACGACGCGCAAGACCAACACTCTGTCGTCGGCCGCCGCACAGCACCTGAAGAGCGCTCTCAACGACAGCAAAGAAAGCAATTACCGAAAGATGTGGGAAAAGCAGCGAATGCGCAAAAGAGTGCAGTGAGTGGTGGCGTGAGTCCGAGCCCTCTCCCTCTCTAACCCCTTCTCTCTCCCTTTCAGACACTTTCTCGACTCGAGCTTCGCGTCCATCGTTTGCGACGAAAACGTGTTGTTCGACAAGTCGTTGGAATGCGAGCCGCAGACGAATGCGAGTCAACGCACGTCACAAACGACGCTGTCGTCCGCCGCGTCGTCCCAGAGCCACAACAGCGCCGCCGCCGTCGCCCACAACTCACAGGTCATGCCGTCGCCCACTCTGTCGTCGCACTCGTCGTCGCCGTCGCTCTCGTCGTCGACCACCAACTCATCGGACGTCCAGTCGACGAACTCGGCGTCGCAGCAGCGCATGCGTCTGCGCTTCGGCGTCCGCGACGACACGGGACTCCGGAAACTGTTGGCGCTGTCGGACAACACGACGCACAACAACCACAACAATCACAACATTCATCGGCCGAACAGTCACTGCGGCGACAGTCAGACGTCGCTGTCGTCGTCCGTGTCGTCGGTCGCGTCGCAAGCCTTCCTGCAAAGCGCGCATCTCTTGCACTCAAACTACTTCGTGTCGGAAGCGGTGGCCGCGCGGCTGTCGGCGCCTCCGACGCACTCAATGGCCTCGCATTACATGAAACAATCGCTTCCTCAGGAGTCGTCGTCTGTCACGTCTTTGCGTCGTTTGGAACACAATTGGCAACAAATGTCGCGATTTCGCGATCCCTTCCTCCCGTCGTTCAACGACAACACGACGACGACTCCGACGACCGCACAGACGACGGCTCTGTCGTCACGCCAGCGACCGATGGGTCGACACAACGCTCCGCCCACTTATGACCAGACGATCCAAAGGATGAAAAAGAAGTTCACGAAACGAGACGAAGAAAACGTCGTCTGAGAGCCAAAGGAATGCCTTTTTATACACTTTTTACACAATTTATTGTATTTTTTGTATTATTTATTGAAAAGTTTTATACATTTTATATACAAATAAACACTCATTGACTCCGACTTTGCATTCTTGCGTCAATTGATTGCTGTCACGCGAGAGGACGACACTGTCGTCGTGTCTGTCGTCTCAAGAATCGCAAAGAATTCTATTTTTGAAACTTTTGTTTATTTAAAAGAATCGGAAAAATGAATGAATTTTTGGACCAATT